TCCATCCTTCTATCTTCTGATATTTGCTCTTCTTCTTTCGGTGGAACGCAAGTCTGTGAGGACTTCTGTTGCAAACTTGTTGGTAGCGTTCCAGGCAGCTTCAGATGACAACATTGCTTCCACTAGTGAATTTGGTTGCATTCTCTGGTTCAGGATCCTCTCCAACTCTTCACGCTGTGAATCGAAACGAGGACATACAAAGAAGACGTGCTCCGCATCATCAGCAACTCCTAGGCAGGACGGGCACTCCGAAGAATCATCGTGCTTAAAGCGGTGTAGATACTCTCGAAAACACCCGTGTCCCGAAAACATCTGTGTAAGATAGTAATTGACCTCGCCATGATTCCGGTTCAGCCAAATGTCGATCCGAGGTATGAGGCGGTGCGTCCACCTACCCTTCTCTGCGGCATCCGATTGTAGTTGCCATCGACTTATGCTGTTCTGCCGTTCTTCAATTTTAAGTTCTTCAAGGCTCAGTGCAGTTGACCTTTTTCGTTGGTAAAAGGCCCGTCTTTCCTCTGCTAGTACTCTAAGAGGTAGGGTTCCGGCAATGACGCACACTGCTTCTTCTGATATTGTGCGGAAGGCACTGGCAACTTTCAGAGTGCTCTGTCTATAAATTGGACCCGCTTTTCTCCATGATTCTTGCGTCTCTAATGCGTCGGCCTAAATGGATATGATATATGTGAGCACGAATGTTACTACTGATGACAGCAGTCTTCTGCTCTGCTTTGGTCCACCAACGTTAGGCATCAGTCGTGCTAGGCTCGCTCTAACTACTGATGCTTCGGCAGTCACATGTTCGACTTGTTGCATGAAATTGAGTCGAGCATCAAGCATCACTCCCAGGTACCGAATGTACGGTTGTGATGTGATCTCATGTTCTCCAACTTGTAACTTGATGGTTTCCATCGCTTTCCTGCTGGTAATGAGCACTGCTTCGGTTTATGCTTAGCTAATTGCAAGTTCACCGTATCCATCCATAAGATAATCCGTCTAAATGTAATCTCGAAGGCCAGATTTATCTCTTCGAGATGCTTTGCGACAATCACCACGGCAACATCATCTGCATATGCTACCAGTTTCACTTCTGCTGGCAATGCTATTTTCAGGAGACCATCATTCATAATGTTCCATAGCAGATGACCTAGAACTGAGCTCTGTGGTACACCACCAGTAATATCATACTCCTTAGGACCACTTTTTGTGTCATATTTGAGGACTCTGTTTGTGAAGTAGCTTGCTACCATTCTATGCGAATACCCTGAAACTCGTTTCTCTTCGAGGGCGCGCATTACGCAGTCCCAGTTAGCCGAGTTGAAAGCATTTTTTATTTCATTTTTGATTTCCAAGCCATGTTGGAAAAGCGTGCAAGGAGTCTTACTAGGGTACGCGTTCTTGGTACCAGGGTACATAAAAACTATGTAAGCCATGATGGCGTCAGGGTCTAATCGGATCGGAAGTTGGGTTACTTAAATCCCGCCCATCTGGAAAATAGGGCAACGCGGCCTTAGTTTTTCTTTGTTACCAGAGGGGACGGAATTATGGGAGCGAGTATCGTCGTTTTAACAGAAAATATTCTAGCCTCAGTGTTGGAAATATTATTTATCATGAATGTAGTTTCTTTATTTTTTAGAGTGTTTTTAAATAATTTTGAAATTATTGTTCATAAAAAAAACGGTGGTTACGCTGGCCGTAACAGGTGAAAACAATAACTTCCCGATTTTTGAAAATCTTCGATTTTCTCAGCGGGAAGTTAAAAATTACTTTTTTTTTATGATAAATTTTTTTTGTTTATTAAAATTTTCTCGCGGATATAAATGATCTTGCGAGTTAAAGCTCGGGACATTGACCATACGAATTAAATAAAAAAGAATCAGATCGATTATTCGTTTTCTTCGAGAGTAAGAGTACACTGAAAAAAAAGTTTTTTTCTACCAAGGAAATGTTTCCTTATGGATAAAATAGTGGTATTCTTATGATTAAAATACGAAAGTTTTTTAACTATAAGAATACAGTTTTCTCACTGTCAAAAAACTAGCCTTATAATAAAACGTGGTATTTTAAAGTTAAGGATACCAGTTTTTTTAAATCAAGAAAACTCGAGTAAAAAATTTAGTATTCTAGGTGGAAAAAAATTTTTTTTTCAGTGTACTAACACAACCATGTTTATACACAAAAGTTCGTTAATTTTATTTATAAATTAATTTCTTACATAAAATTACATATTAATGAAACAAAAAATAGATTACAGAGGGGTATTTTTCAAACAAGGAATTCTCAGTAAATTAACCAACTATTGTTTTAACAATTATCATAAATAATTTATTTATTTATTTCGTAAATATTCTATAAATTAATAACAGGATATAAAATTGACTAGATTGCAGAGACAGTTTATCAGTAAATGTCATGTTACGCTCAATTATGATCAAATCAAAGATCTTGCATGAAATTATATTCCATTGATCATTTTGTTATTTTTCCCGAGCATACTTAAGGAAAAAACTTTTTTTTATTGTATTGTATTGTATTATATCATTAACAATTATTAGATCCGTGACACTAAAAGTCGAATTGAACTCAAGTGCCCATAAATTAACAACTACCAAAGCGTTTCATGTCGAAAAACTTTTAAAGCTTCAGTTGAATTGTCTTACATTTATTTGAATCTATAAGATAATTATTTTAGAGATTTTTAATCTAAGTGAAAAAATAGAAAAAAGATTTGTTCTAAAATCGCCTCTTTCCGTCTCAAAGTAGCCTTCTGTTCAATGCTCTGATTTCAATATGAAATAAACAACTTTTGATGTAAAATAAATTCAATTGCATAATTACATTTTATCCTTACATTATATGCAATGAAATGAAACAAATGTAGTGATGAAAAATAAACTTAAAAAATATTTACAGCTATTGAACTTTTAGTTCACATGCGATCAAAAATTTTTTCACATCGCAATGGTAACGAAAAAATTTCTTTTAAATTATAGTTTTTTCTGTGAAAAGTTTTGTAAATTTATCGTCGACGTATTGACTTTTATTTCATAAACATATTATAGGATGTTTTGTTTTAAGCGATAACTTTTTTTTTTCGCTGCTATTCTAAATATCGAAAAAAAAATATTCCATCAAGATTTCAGCTCATAATTTTTTATACAAAATTAAATCTTACGTCCATACCGTTAAAATGCGTAGTTATCTCTAATTCTTAGACAACATTTTTCTCTCTAATAATTAAGTTATGAGCTTTGAGTTTAACCCTTGACAGGCAAACTATGTAAACAGTTCCCACCCTTAAAATTTAATCTTATTAGAATTTCACAGACTTTGTTCATATTAAATGTTATTTTTTTTATAATTAAATTATTTCAAAATTATATCTATCTTACGCAGAATTATTTAAGCATTAAATTAAAAACAAAAAAATTAGTAAAACGGTTACTCTACAGGCCATCACTGTAACTTTCTGCTAATTTCAAATGCAAAGCGCTTCAAATTTAACTTGTTACGATGTTTTTGAGCTCTTTGAGCTCAAACGTCTAGTTTGTATTTAATAAAAAACTTTTTTCAAAATATTTAAGCTACAATAACTTTCGGACAAATCTTCTGATTTTAGAACGCTTAGTGGTATTTAACCAGATTAAAAAAACTTTACCAAAATTTTCAGAAAAAAATACGCTCTGATAAATAATTGAAAAAATAATATTGAAAAACCATGTTTTGTTGATTTTTTAAAAATAAGATACCTTTCGACAAAATTGATTTAGCGTAAATTTTTCAAGTTATTTTGAAATAACACTTTTTTAAGATTTTTTTCGACAACGATATCTCTCGAAAGAATTAACCGATTCTGATGCGGCTCATGGCAATCGACGTCATTTTTCGAGTAGAAGAACTGATTAGATCATAGAATTGATCGAACCAGAAGTATTTAATGAATTCCAAGAAAATTATTTTTTGAAAATTAAAAAAAAACTCGAATTTTTAAGGTTTTCTCAGAATCTAGTAGATTCGTACTTAAAACTGGACGAGATAAAATGCTGAAGAATTATTATAAATGTAATTGGGTATATAGTGCAGTATTGATATTGGATCCTTGTCATAAATTAAAAAATTTTGATCGTACAACATGGAGAAGAGAAATGAAAGAAACATCACTTGAGGAATTTGAAAAAATTTTCAAAAAAAAATATTCTGTAATAGACAACGTTGATAACATTATTGAAAACGAATCAGATACTGAGTATGATAAAGATGAAATTGACATCGGCTCTATTTTTGAAAAACCAAAAAAAAATGAATCGCTGGGATTATATTTTTACTAGATTAAAAAAAATTTTAAGTTATTCAAGACCAAGGCGAGATCTTGACAAGACAATACAAGACGATATTGCAAATTACTTATTTTTCAAGATCAATACAAGAGTTAAATTTTTAAGTCAAAATCAAGACACAATTAAAAATTTCGAGATCAAGACAAGACTTTCCGAATCTTGTCTTGTCTCGGCTCGAGTGAAGCCCTAGAATCTACCGGGCCAATTCGGTCTTAATTCACAGAAAATTTAAGTTCAGCAAGGCCCTTCCGGATGCCGCAAACCGTTTTTTGATTGGATACTGCGTTACAAAGTTATAAGATGTTTACATGTTTACATACGAAGGGACACCCTCGTAGAAATAGTCAGAATAGCTTCTTAAGACCCCAAAACGTGCAGATCTGATGAAAACTCAATTTTCCAAAGTCAGGGTGAAACCAATAACTTTCCAATTTTTTGAAAACCACTGATTTTCTTAGCGGGAAGTTAATCAAAATTTCTTTTCCTTAATTGGATACTTGACATTAAATTGTACTAGTTTTTTTTTACCCTCATTGCTGTTAGAGAAATACGGCTTAGATGTTTGCCTGTCAGGAGTTAATATTTTCGTGCCAGCGAAAAAAAAATCATCTCATATAAAGCTCCCTAAGCATCTAAACTTTCATCATCCGAGATTCAACATTTTTAAACTATTAAATTCGTAACATTCGGCTCATCTTGTAGCGAATCACTACTGGTTTGTTCTTTTACTTGTATAATACCATTAGCTAATCCTCCAAGTTGAACATTAACATACTTTGGAATGTTTTCACTATTATGACTATTATTATGACTAAAAATTGGCAGTTGATTGTTGTTAATCTTAACATTATCATTAATGTTGTTGTTGTTTGCTAACAAAGGTGAATGATTATCATCTTCATCAGTATCATTATCATCATTATAAATATTCTGAGCATTATTTGAATCTAAATTAATGTCGAGTAATTGAGCATTTAGAAAACTGGGCACAGTTAATTGGTCGGATGTCGATGGTGATGGCTGTTGGTGTTGTGATGGCCAACCAAGTGACATCGACAGTTTCTTGGATGATTTTGTCAGCGAGTCTACATCGCCACTGTGGTCTATCTGGACACTTGACAAAGGACCGTCAAGACATGGGCACAGTACGCGGGGGTTCATTGCCAAAAAGTCTACTATTTCCGGGGCTGATGGTCTTTTTGGATAATCAAATGCCCAACATGCTTTTATCAATGCATCCCTGCAACAATTACAACGTACTTTACAGATTTGGCCCTATTGCATTATAATCATGCTGAGAAGAAAATTGAATAGAGAAAAATTTTCTTACAATTGCGGTTTAACTCCTTTGGGTATGTCAAGTGTCTTCCCTTCCTTGACATAGCTCAAAACTTGGTTGTTGCTTAACCCTTGGAATGGAAAACTTCCGAAAGTAATTATTTCGTAGAGCAACACGCCATAAGACCAGACATCAGACGCAGGTGAAAACACTCCTAGACTTAATGATTCTGGCGCCATCCAACGGACGGGTAACATACCTAAAACAATAATGTACAAATTATTTTGATTTCGTGAACTAACAATAAAGATGATTGTGAAAAAGTTTGGAAAATCTATTAGTGCGCGTCTTATAATGCTCATTTATTTTTTAAGAAATAAATAAATTGCAAAATTGATTTATAACAGAAAAAAAACAACTACGTAATTTCTTATAGAGTATTTTCTAATTTTTTGGAATGTTTGCTGCCCATTTTTCTTGTCATAGGCACAGGCAATCTAAAAAAATCTAGTAATACGATTGCTTGATTTCATTTTAACTTGATTATATAAGTAGCGCTATAGTTTTTATATGAGAGAAATGAAAAAAGTTCTTTAGTTTTTGTACGTATGTATCATAGTGAATTTGAATAAAAATTCATTTAAAAAATTACTATGTAAACTGGGCTATGGATATAAAATACGTCACCAGCTCATCGAATTCTGGAACTAATAAAAAGAGCTTGGTTTCGATACATCAATTTTTTTGAAAGTTATTGTGAGTAGATAAAAAATCAGCGTACAGACATCCGAACGTCCACTTAAAATTTTTTTTGAAATCATTTTTTCGAAGTAGCAACATAAACTGACTTTTAGAAACTATAAGATGGATTAATTATTCTTTTATCGATGTACTTCATCCATATCTATATATATATATATATATATATATATATA